AAGTTATCAGGAGAAGAAAAACTGTATGTAGGATAGGCCAATGGAAAGCAACTGTAAAGATTTAAGAAATTTCTCAGTTTCAGTTACATCTATCTTGCATGTAGTCAATCCTTACCACTTTGTTAGACTTCCTTATGCATTTTGATAGATGAGAAAAGAACAGTGTGTGTGTGTGTGTATGTTAAAAGAAATGATAGATTTAAGTATTAATATTTCTGTCTTTTGTCCATTGGGAGCATATTAACTTTTCCTTTGAAATCCTGTAAAGTAAAATATTTCAAAGTTTAATGCTGTTTGCCTGAGGAAAGAAAAGGGAGAAAAAGTAATATTTTTGGATAATGAAAAGCAAAATATGTATAATACATCCTTGTTCTTATGAATTTATCTTTGACTCCATGGCTTTAACTTTATTAAAGTAATTTCAAATTCTGTAGTAGTATTTAATTGGAAATGTAATTCCACTGAAGTAATTATTGGCTAGTGTATCTACAGAAATGAGATAAATATGGTCTGAGTGTGGTTTTGCTTGCATTGTTCTTACACTGGAATGGTCATGGTCAGTAGTGCTGTGGAATGAGACATGGTTTGCCTTCTGTCAAGGGAACAAGGGCAAAAATAGTTGAAACATATGAGGAACTACACACTCAAATGCTGGACATGCAAGGAAAAGGGTATTTGTTTCATTTAGGTGAGAAGGGGAGAGAATGCAGGGCTATATTGGGGTTTTGGGGGGTTTGCTTTCAAAATTAAAATAGTAGCCATTCTCAACCTCTAAGCACAATAATTCTGCAAATGGTCTTATCAGCTGAAAATGTTTGTGCCCCAGCACAGTTATATTTGAAGGGGGTAAGCCACAGGTAATATGTAAGTATTAAATAAAGTAGTTATTAAAAAACATGGTATTTCTACTAGGTCAGGACAAACTGGTAGCTGGTGATTCAAAATATTTAACACCTTATATTTTGTAAGCTCACTGCAGAGACTAGCGTTAATATTTGTGTGAAGTAAAACCAGATTGGCTGTTGCTTTGGCCATTGTGATTTTTTAAGTACCTTTTATTTGAGTATAAAGAAGCTTTTTTTATTTAGGTGTCATAGCCCTGCCAAGCAAACTGTTAGCTGCAGTTTTAATTTTTCTGGTTTGTGGTATTTAACAAGACTAAAACTCAGGTTTAGGATTGATTCCCTTAATCTTTAGTTCGATTTGTAACGATGTATTTTTGTTGAGAATATATAATTTATGATGATAGCTCATGCTCACAGTTGTGAATAGGGCAAACTCATTCCTTGGTACCTAAGATTTGTAGAGTCAAAGGTGTTACTTTTTCTGTCCTAGTGTGGTAAATTAAGCAAGGCATTAGAGAAACTATGTGGAAGAGAAGAGGTTGGAGCAGAAAAGTTAAAGAAGCCAGGGTCACATGAGTGAATGTCCAATATGCTTCAAAAAAAGGTTGTTTTTTTCTTTCCTTTTAGCAACTAGATTAATGGATTTGGATTCCTGTCAGAAAGATTTACTAGAATAAAATTTAACTGAGGGGATGCTTTTTTCCTTTTTAAATATGTGAAAAAATTGTTCTAAGATCAAATCTTAGAATTTTCAATAGTAAGATGCTGTATTTAATGGACTGAAAATGGCTGATGATAGAGAATCACTGTTCTTTTCATACTGTTTAACTGAAATGGAAACACCATTTTGTTCTGAACTTTTTTAGTAATTGTCACCCAGCCTGGGTGAGGTTTGATTGTAGCACAATAAATTAGGATTTACATTTGGTTAAAAAAACCTATGATACTATAGGAAGGAGAGTGTTAATGATTCATTAAAGTAGGTGTTTATGATTTAGATAGAAAATAAGGACAACAGCATGATTTTTGAGGTTTCATGAAATTGTAAAGTGGTCTGAGTATGGTCTCAGCAGTAGTATTTTGTGATTGTATGATTAACAGGCACTGAAATAATAGTTTTATGTATTTTGAAGCCTGGAGAACCCTTCAGCCATGTATTATATAGTCTTTTGGAAAATGACTACTATAGAGAAAAATAATCTTGTGATACACATTGGCTTTAATGCTGATATACTGGGTTTCAGAATGACTTTTACTAAAGGGACTTGGGAGTTTGGATTTGAGGCATGTTTACCGTGGACAAGTAGAAGCAATTATAGCAATTAATAGTCACAGAAAAAATCAAATATCACAATGTTAATTTTGATTCTGGATTCTGTCTACTTTACCGAACAGTTCTTTGATATCAGCAGGTCATGAAAACTTTTTAAACCAAAATATCTGCACAGTTGGTCACTGTGCATAAGGAGTGATGTGCCTCTAATATTTAGTGAAAGAAGGGTTGTGACAGAAGGTAGTAAAGAAGAACTGTGAGCATGTGAGAGAGGTAATTTAGCCAGCTGCAGCCATGATGTGCCTGACCTGAGTGTGGCCACACATCACACCTGAGATGTTGAAGAGGATTCCATCCCCAGCTCTTGGCCCTGGTCCCACAGCAGGAATCACTGCATGGGATATGCAGCTGACCCAAACCCCAAACTGTAAATGTTTACCACCTGGCATGTTAAACTAATAATGTCGATTTTAGTTTACTGTAATACTTAAGCACTGCATATGATGATGTTTTGGGAGGTGCTGTGAGGTTTTTTCATGTTTCTGTAGAACTGAAAACACTAGGGGGGGAAAAAAAGAGTTTGAACCTGCTTGAACTTTCATGTTGCACCTGCTGTTACTGCTTTTCTGAGGTTCATCAGTTACTGTGGAGCTTGCAGAGGTGAATACCGTTTATTGTCAATTTCGCTACTCTAAGCAGTCTTGGAGCTACCTTATGATGTAAGGTTCTGTAATAGTTTTCCACTGATCAAATATGGAGGTATAACATAAGTCTTTTGCATTTATTTTGATCCTTCTTTTATTCTAAGCAGCCCTTTGTAGTATCTATATAGTTGGAGTGCAGCTCCTACTGAGCTGTAGCTATGTGTACTCTGTTTAGTCAACTCTGGTAAAGCAGGAATGCAGAGAATGAAAAGCATGCAACTAGGAACTCCAATCTGAAGTGTTTGTTACATGAGTTACTTAGCATCAGGTAAGAACATGGCAAAAACACAGATACAGTTCTTTCCTTCAGAGTAGCATTGGGTTATGTAAGTCACAGGCCAAGCTTCTTCATTGTGCTGTGTTTTGAGTTATTCATAGTATAGCTCTTTATGAAACAAAGCTCAGTCAAAGAATGTATTAAGGTGCTATCTCCTTAAACACACATAACCTCAAGAGTGGCCTGCTCTGTACATAGAAATTGCCGAGGTTGTTGTAAGGAGACATACATGACTTTTTAATTGGAGTAAATATGAAGAAAAGGGTTGAGTTATTGTGGCATAGGAATGCTCCAGTCTAGTTTGTTGGTTTTTTGTTTGTTTGTTTTTTTTTCCCTTCATTGCTGTATTACCATTTAGGCAATCTAGTAATTATTTTCTCTTACTTAATGTAGGTGCATTTCCTGTTGCAATTTTCTGCAGTTTCCTCTAGAATTGGTGCCTGTTTTGTTTTCTTTTAAATTAAATAAAAGATTGATTTTATGTTGAATATTTTAACTGGCAAACCTCTACTCTTTCCTGCACTCTTTGCTTACACGTATTCCTGATATTTGTCAAAGGAAGGTAGGAGTGTAGACAGGAGAAACTATCATTTTGCTCTACTGAGTCACATGATCAGTGAGTTCTTGATTTGGAGCGATACTATAGCACATACCCACATACCCAGACTGGCCATTGGCTTCTTGGTCGTGAGCCTTCATCCTCTGCAAATTAATCTTTATAGCTTCCTTGCTTCCAGCTAGAGCCAAGAGAAGTTTACAGAATGTTAGCAATTACAACTGTTACGTTGACTGTCTTGAGATGGTGACATCATTGAGCCAGCAATGTAGTTTTGTAATATTTGTGCAGCTAATGCTTTTCTCCAGTTTTGCGTTCATAATTTTTGAAAAAACAAAAAGTGGTTCAACTTTCTCTGAACAGAATTGTTTATAAGGCTTGCCACACTGGTTTTACTTTTCTGTGTAGATTTTAAACAAGTGGTAACACATACCAGGTACTGATTTCTTTCTTCTGATGCCTCACAAATCTGCTTTATGCAAAACTCGGAGTTTGCACTCCTTTACACTCTTCCATAAGAGGAAAGAGTGATTGAGAGGTAGAGAAGTAACACTAGAAATTTTTTTCCCTAGAATTTTGGGTGTTTTTTTAAGAGCTCACATGCAGATGACCACTTCTTGACCTATATGAACTCATATTAAGTATGTATATACTAGTGAAATAATACAACTCAAATTTCTTTGAACTGTCACATCAGTAGTTAATTGTATGACACTGGCAAGATGAGGTCTAAGTGCCAAGTTGTGATTAAGTCTTATATTTTTAGTTAATTTTAGTCTCCCCATTTACATGTGTAATACTATATTTCTTTTGACCAGAATTTGGATAATTGGGATTCCTATTAAGCTGCCTGTTCTTCCTTCTAAGAGTTCGCAGGTGGTGAGAAGAAGGAGTAAGTGCTACTAAGTTTTAAAAGCTCCATTTGAAAATCATGATCTTGGTCATTTGCATTTGACTTTGACTTAATATGCAAATCACAGCAATCTAAATGCGTCACTTTTTTGAAACAAGATCACTTTTCTAACTTCGTGTTTTGAGGCAACCCTCAATAGTGTTTGAATTGCCATTTGAGACAAGAAGCAATAATGTATTTCATGTTTCATTGCTTGCAGAGGAGGAAGAAGCTGTGCCTCAGGAATTTGACTTCATCCCCCAAAACATCTGATGCTTATCTTGCATGTGAATTTTTGTAAAAATTATATGGATATATACATGAAGTATATTTAATGTAGCTATCAAATTTGATATTAAAAATGTGCATCATGTGTACAGTATTTTGTTCATTTATTTATTTATAAGCACATATATAGAAGTGAAAACTGTGTTTTCATTTACTACTTTCCAGGGGATATAATTTTCAATGCTCACTATCCTGACCTACCACCAGATTTTATCTTTGGAGAGGATGCTGAATTTTTGCCAGATCCTTCTGCCTTGCATGTAAGTAATTCACTGACAACCTTGTACCATGCAAAGAGACTTGTCTTTTTTAGAATAGATTCAGAAGTAAGAATTTGCTAACAATGCAGAATAAAGAAAAAAGCCACTTTTATCTCACTGTTACGTATCAACACTTTGTCTTCTAAAGTTATTTAAAGTTGAATTCATAAATATAGGGGTGTTTTTTAAAAATTTTAGTAGAGACAAGATGACATTTACAATAACTATTCAGAGTATCTTTAAAAAGACATCTTTTTAATACCTGACCCTCTTAAAAGATCTGTTTGAGTAAAAAATATTGCCCAATCATGTCTTTGAAAAGCAATTAGTTCCAGAAAAATTAGTATAATGTTGTGTAGTGATGCTGATAGGATAAAACCAGGTTGTATGTTGTTGAAACTACTACGTCAAAGAAGTAGATCTGCTCATATGTGGTAGTGTTACCATAAAGACAAAGAAATGCCCTTTTAAAAGGCATGATGGTCAAAAATTGTCATAATGAGAAAATATTTTTACACAGTCTTATTACTATAGAAGTAGAGGCACCACAACCTGAAACCAAGCATTTTGTTCATTATTCAGAATTATCCTTCAAGCAGTAAACCCTTGTTTGAAGAATCTAACAATAGCTATGCTTTTAAAATACTTCCTATCAAAAGTTACTAGTAGTTGACTAAAGCCATATTAAGGTCTTTTGAAACCCAGAGTGTTTTTCTCTTTTACTTTCCCCCTCTCTTTGGGCTCCATTCTCCTTGTTTCTGGGTCAGCAGTATTGTTTGTCAGTAGGGTTTGGGCATATTTTTCCAATAAGTGTCCAGTACCTGTGGTTATGGTGCAGAGTTTGATGGCTGTGTCAGAAAAGTATGCCTTTGCCAGAGAGCTCTACTGTAATTCTTGTTCGGTCACCCATGCTGTAGGTCATGATCTCGTTGTTTTGGTTTTTTTTTTTCCTCAATATTTTTAGCTTTTATTAGAACATTGACCCAAAAAACAATTTACACTTTAAATATATTTTATTTTATAGACTACCTGTAAAGGTACATGGGAATCACTGGCACAAACAGGCATCTGGGAAGTGTCTTTTAATAAAACTCCTGGCATAGACCCTTGCTAAGGGAGAGGCTCATATTCCTCCTCTGCAGCCTGTTCTGTGCTTTATCAGCATGTCTCCAGTGCAGCTGGGTGATTTTGTCAGATATGGGAGCTCCCGAAGTAAGTCCCAGGCTGTTATGCTGTACTGTTCAGTTTTGGAGTACAGGTGTCATGGGGGAAGAAAGTAAGGCAATGGCCACAGAATTGAACACGTCCTTCACATGTGTTGTTTTTTTGTTTTTAGCTTTATTCACAAGTTATATTGAAAAATTTCACAATCTTAAAAGAATTGGTTTTAATAATTTTTTTAGCATACCTAACAGAATATTTTTCAAAAGTGAATATCCTATTTCTTTGCTTCCCCCCAATCACTTTCCTGTTAAGCTCACAAGCTCCTTTGAAAAGAACGAATGGTACTGCTGAATAGCTATTTTGTTAGGCTCATTTATGGAAAAAGTTTTACTAAATATGAGAATTCTGGAATTGCTTTCACACTCTTATTTACCAGTTCTCGTGTTTTCCCCTTTTTTTATTTTGTTATTTCACAATCTAACAACCTTCTGAGAAGTATTCACACTAGCAACCACTTTCTGCAGTTGATGTTAAAGAGTGAGCACTTTTTTAATGTGCTGGAAAGCTGAAATCAATGACAAATAGCAAATGAGATATTTAGTAAAGATAATTAATTTAGGATATCTTGCAGAAATGCTGTTCAGATGGAGTGTGATATGGTGACATATTTCTCATGTAAAAAGAAGTCACTAGCACTAGTGATCCACAGGGAAACCTGCAAGGATAAAAACATCCTTAGTTTTCCTTCTTTCTGTCTTACATTGTTCATTAATGATACTTCTTTCAGAAGTATTGCTTTTCTTCTGCCTAAGCACAGAACAAACTTCCCATCCTCTTTTTTGGAAAGCAGCTTGGGGAGCCATTTACTTCCTGATGCATAATGAGATATTAACCAGCGTATTTTAAAATTGATTAAAAATGAACCAAAATAGAAATTTGCAAGCCAGCAGCATTCCTTTGATCATTATGTCTTGCAGTAGTATTGAGTATGTAAATGTAACGTTTTCTGATAAGGCCCTTGTCATCCTGATGTTATCAGAGCATGTCATCTCCACCTTGCAGCTATGGTCTATATGGTGTATTTTTGCTTTTGCATTCACCTTTTAATGTTCAACATGGCTTGCAAAGTTTTTCTTCAGAATATTACATTAACAATAACTTGATTGTTATGCTAAATATTTGAATAACCCCTTTTTTTCACAGATCTCGGAGCACTTTAATGAAGATAATTTTAATTGAATTCTAAAATATTAGCAGAATTTTTTTAATGTGTTAACATATATTTCTACTGACTATAAGTAAACATAAATTAGCACATTCAGTATAATTTAATGCTTTTAATCTTGAGCAATCTTCAAACACTTTTGATGCAGCAGTTCCTGGCAATCAAAACAGAATCTACCATTCAAAAAAGCAAGTAGATGGTATTAAATGAGGCGCACAGTCTCTAAGTAATAAATATGTGCCACCAGATCTGTGGAAATTCTGACATTGAGCCTTCTTGCACTGCTCTCATTTGCCTGAGTGTCTTGTTTTCCAAGCAGAAGTCATCTCATGATGTTACATGCTTGAATCAGGCATTATGCTTAGCTTTAAATGAGAACCAGGCACTCCAGCTTCCTCAAGCTTGTGTGTCTGTAATAGAGTCTGTCGTAGACCTCCCTGAAGACATTTGAATGGCCGTGCTGCAGATTGCTTCAGTCACTCCTTCAGTTTCCATAGCCATGGGCAGATCTTCAAGTTAGGTTTTTATCTAAGCTTGGTAACAGGTGTTCAGTTAAGCAGCTGTTAGCCAGACAGCTAAGACAAGATTCCAGAAATACTGCATTTTAAGAAGTAGAGGCTGTAGGTGATGACTTTGTACTATCTTTTTTTTCTAAAGAATTCCTAAATGGTTGGGCCTGTATTTCAGCAGCAGGGTGATACGTTGAGCACTCTTGTTACAAGCAGAGCTAACCAACTGCTTTGTTAAGTTGATATTGCAGTTGCAGAATCAAGTTGATTCTGCTTGTTGAAACTCAGCTTTGCTTCTGTCTTGCACAAATATTAAAGTCACTTCAGTTTGAAACTCAGGTTGAGTTTCAAGTTCAGCACTGCAGAATGTATGCCTCATTACCTGCCTTACCAGAAGTATACTCTATACTGGTTGGAGGGTCTCGTTGTGTGTATTCTGATGTTCTAGAATGATGTAGAGATTGAGGAGCAACTCAACAGAGGAGCAACTGTTCCTTTTATTTTGTCATACAGTTTTAGTTACAGTCAGAGGACTAAATTCTTTAGGTTAGTGATGCTATTTGTGCTCAAAGCATTAGTTGAAATAAATGTGGGGTTTTTTTTCCATTAAAAAAGTCCTCACCTATTGTATGCATTTGATACTTGTGTATATAGTATGTATAAACAAAATCAGCTTCCCAAAATGTAAATAGAAAAGTTCTTCCCTTCTCTAGTGTTTATTCATTTTGGATGACAAGTATTAGAAATGTATTTTAAAAACAACCTATGAATCACTCCGTTCTGATTAAAAATTCGGTTGGCACAAAACAAGATTAGTGATTGTGTACGGATGAGATTAATTTGGAGCTCATTACAATGACGCCAGTTTGAGTAACAAGAATTGTTTGTTATGTTAGCCTAGTTGATGGTTAATGTGAGCCAGGTAATAATTGAAGTGCTTATGCAAAATGTTAACCCCATTTTTCCAATGATTTTGAAGTGTCTTCTGTTTGGCAAAGAAGAGACAAAAGCAGTATATGCAAGCTAACTGTCAGTTTAAGGATTTGGGGTTTTTAGCATTCTACTTCAGTTCTCCAGCTAGTCTCCTCAGAATTATTCTGCCCGCCCATTACTATCAAAAAGACTCCATGAGCCTTAGTGGGGATGGAGGCAAGAGGACTTTAGCATGCCCTGAAATCCAGTAAGTGCTAAATGTGTTCTTGTGGACCAGTATATATGGGAATACTTGGAGCTGCATACACATGCAAGGAGGGCTTTGCCATTGCAGAACTTCAGAGCATGAGCCACTGCGGTTCTCATGCCAGTTAAGGAGCATTGGGAAGATTGTTTCTTCTTGTCTGATTGTTAATACTGAGTACAGATTTCAGTCACTGTGGAGTTGATGCGGCTAATTGTGCAAGTTAAGTATATTGGCTGTCATGCTCTATATCTTGTGTAGAGCAATGTTTAAGTTCTTGTATTTGTAGCTATTGGACTCCGTATTTATCATTTGGCGATATGATGACTGTCATGAAGCTGTATATTTTCTGTACCTGTGTTCAAAATCTTAATCGTTATTACTCTTGACTTGCTGAGTTAGCTTTTAATGGACAGTGAAGAGATCCTTTAAATACCTCCCATAATTGTTCATCATTTACTGTCAGGTGCATGAGACAGATGTTTAACAGCATCAATTGTTCCTATGCTCACAGTAGCTACAAAAAAGCCCAAATACCCCTTATATTAGCTAGTGCCATTTGAACTATTCTTAAAAGTCTGGCTGTTGTATTGTTGGCAAAGATGCAGGTGTTATATATTCCAGTATGAACACCCCTACATAAGGGCAATAAGCATGAGTTCAAACTGATTTAGCATTACTATCTCTTCTGCTTGCTCTATTTGGGGTGGCAGCAGCAGATTTCATTCTTGGACCCCTAACCTACCACTCTTATACTGAAAGCCTTAAATAACTTTGGTTTTGGTTGAACTTGGGGAATTTAAGTGAAACAGAATGCAGGATTGGATCCTGCATCTCATTAGAATGTTTTTTTTTTTATTTTGAACTTCTATATATTCACATTTTTGTGTTTTATTTTCAGTTATGTCTTGACTTTATATGTCAT